TGGGGGAAAACGGGGCTGATCTGGTCGCTGCCCCTTGCAAAGTACATTTTGAATGTTGAACTTTGATTTGCCCGCTAAAGCAGTGCAGATACATGTACGATAATCTGGCCGATTCAGCAGCTGATATACATGGGAGAGAATTGACTGATCCGGTCGCTGCCCCTTCCCAAGTAGATTTTGAACGTTGAACTTTGATCTGCCCGCTAAAGCAGTGCAGATACATGGGCGATAATCTGGTCGTTTCAGCAGCTCATATACGTAGGGGAAAACGGGGCTGATCTTGTCGCTGCCCCTTGCCAAGTACATTTCGAACGTTGAACTTAGATCTGCCCGCTAAAGCAGAGCAGATACATGTACGATAATGTGGCCAATTCAGCAACTCACGTACATGGGAGAGAATTGACTGATCCGGTCGCTGCCCCTGCCTGGGTATGTTTTGAACTTTGAACTTTGATCTGTCTCTAAAGCAGTGCAGAATGTTGGGCCGTAATGGTCCTCGACAATGAGTTCCATTAGCTCACTCGAATTGAGCTCGCTGATCAGGCGGGCCAGATAGGTAATATTAAACCCTTTCCCCGCCCGAAGTGATTGAACTTAGGGCTCGGCGACTAAAGACCATGGTTAGTAAAGGCAATGAGAGGGAACGAGAGTGAGAGAGAAAGAGCAGCGAGAGTGAGAGAGAGAGAACAGCGAGAGTGAGTGAGAGGGAACGAGAGTAAGAGAGAGAGAGCAGCGAGAGTGAGAGAGAGAGAACAGCGAGAGTGAGRGAGAGAGAAGAGCGAGAGTGAGAGAGAGAGAACAACGAGAGTCAGAGAGAGAGAGCAGCGAGACTGAGGGAGGGAGAACAGCGTGAGTAAGGGAGCGAGAACTGCGAATGGGAGAGAGAGAGAAAGTGGGGGACACATCCAAAGTTGACTGTGAAACTTGCTATGGCGGCCTAGTTGCAATTCCCAGGTGTCTGCAAAAAAAAAAAAAAACTCACCACTGCGTGGGGTGGCTGAACTATCCATTGGCTGATGAAACGCACTGCTTTGTGACACCGGTTGATTGTTGTAACTCCTTAGTCGCTAAAACGTACTGTTGAGTGATACCAATTGGCTGAATTATTAATTGACTACTGGAACGTACTGTTGAGCGATACCAGTTGACTGTTGGAACTCCTTACTGATCGAAGCTGCTAAATTACAAAAAGGAAGAAAAAGAAAAAAAAAGGGATCGTGACAGGACGCTCCCGATTTCGAACCCTGCTGGTCGCTGATGACCTCGGAAGCGGGCGCGGCGAGTGACAGGCGCCGTAGCCCTTGGCTTCAGCGAACGGAAGGCGCCCCTCCCCGGGTTTCCTCACAACTTAGGCGCCGTTGTCGGGGAGGGGAGCAGCACCCCCAGGCCGCGGCCTTCCCCAACCAACGGGGGTGCACGGGCTGATTAGTCAAACACTAATTAGCTTGTTTTCTTGATTAGTTTTATTTTTTATAATTATTTTATTTAGTTTTTTTGAAATATCTCTCGATCCGCGCGCTTTCGTGCGAGCCGCGCCGGGAGCAAAGTTCGCGCTCTCGTAGAGGCGAATGTTTTGAGATGTTTTTTGAAAAATTATAACGGCTAGAAAAAAAGTTAAATTAAAAGTCCCAAAAATAATAGATTAAAATTTCTAATTGATTTTTCCTCGATATCTCTTGATCCGTGCGTTTTTGCGCGAGGCGCACCCGGAGCAAAGTTCGCGCTCTCGTGGAGGCGAACGTTTTGAGACGGTTTTTGAAATATTCTAACGGCTAGAAAAAAAGATATGGAATTTTTTGTATTTTTTTAATTAAAAATCCCAAAAATAATGGATTAAAATTTCTAATTGATTTTTCCTCGATATCTCTCCTGATCCGTGCGTTTTTGCGCGAGGCGCACGGGGAGCAAAGTTTGACCTCTCGTCGAGGAGAACGTTTTGAGACATTTTTTGAAAAATTTTAATGGCTAGAAAAGGAGATATGGAAATTTTTGTAATTTTCTAATTAAAATTCCGAAAATCATGAATTTCCTTTTATTTTAATTACGAAGAAAAAAAGCGAAATTAGGTGAACCCCGCCTGGACCAAAGTTGGTCCTTGTATTTTCCCCGACATTTTGAGATCTTAGTCGGGGAAAACGGACTCCGTTAGGACGAGTGGTGACCGCTAACAGACAGGAAAAGAGGGGAAAATTAAGAGGAATTATTGATTTTTTTTATATTTTTATAAAAATAAAAGGGAAACAGAAGTCGGCAAAAGTGATGCGTTGGAACCCGGCTTTTAACGGACTACAAACCGACGGAAAAGTTTCTGCCTCGAGAAGTCGGACGTGGTGGCGTGCGGGTCGCGCGCAAAACCCCAAAACGCTAATTGGGGGAAACCCTAATTAGGGTAAACCTAACCCTAAGTTAGGGAAGGGCGGTGCGTAGCCGGGCGGATACAAGTCTTTATATCCGACCGGTGATGGGAAAATTTTGTATAAATCCAGTTGACCAAATTGAAATTAATCAAAATTGGGAATTTTGTTTTAATTAAATAATTTAAGTTGTTAATTTGTTTTAAGTAATAATTTGTCATTAAAAATCGACTAAAAATCAAAATAAATATTTAAAATTCTTCAAGTAAGGGGAGTTGGCTTTATTTCGACTTTGTGATTCGGGAGATACTTCGCTTAACCCCATCCCAACGGGGGGAAGCAAAGTGCTGCCGAAATTTCTCGGCAGTTTGCTGAATTTTATTGAATTAAATCTTAAATAATTAAAAAAAAATTATTGAAAATTAGCTAAAGATTGAGATACTTTTTCAGTTCTTAATCTTTCTTGTTAAACATCTACCGTCGGTATTTTGAGGCCTTCGGCCAAACCCTATCACGACGGGGGGGAGTCAAAGTGCTGTCGAAATTTCAAAAAATCTCCTAATTTAAATTATTAATTCTTTTTTTATATAAATATATTGAAAGCAATTAGGGAAATTAATTATAAATACGTTAGAAGTTTGTTTCTTTAAGCGACTTTTCTCGTTTCATTTGGCTGTAGTTTTGGGTAGGTAGCATTTGTTTAGGGACAATAGTCTCGAACCCCATCCCAACGGGGGGAGGCGGAACGTTGCCGAAATTTTAGTAAAATCCACAAATTTTATTTCCACGCCTAAAAAGCATCAAACTCGGCGAGCTTTTATAAGTATTGATCCTTAATATACATAAACTAAGAAATAAATTTTATCTTAACTAAATACATTATTTTTAATTTATAATTGAAAAATACAAAAGAATTCCCTAGAAGGAGAAGGGAAAGAGGCGTTGCGGTAACATGGTTTCAGGTGAACCTACTAGCTTGTTCTCGAAGGCGTGAGGCAAGCGACGCGAAATTTCAGTTATTAATCTACACCTTCCGCTTGCTGCGTTCTCTCTAGCCGCCAGTTGAATGTGGTCGCGGGTGCAAGTAGAGGTCTATGGGGCTACCATTGACTGGGACTTAGAGCCCCCTGAACTCATAGAGGGGGATCTGGTCCAGCTCACGATCCCCGGACGCAGCATTCGACACGCTGACGGCCAGTTTGCGTGGAGGTCCATAATCCTGTCCGAGGACGTGTAGCTTTGGACGTACAGAGAGCACCGACCGGGGCAAGGAGTGGGCGTAGTGAGAGCCTACTTGTATTTGGGACCGGGTGCGGTCAGGGAGGCCGTGGTGGGCCTCGCGACGACAGGGACTAGTGACGCAGTTAGCAGGCCCTTACGCTACCTAGGGGAAAAGGTAGCTGCTTTCCGAGCGGAGGACGTGAGCGACCCGTTGACCCTATTTCACGGACGCCCTCCTCTTGATATCACGGGTGAGCTGGTGGTAGCACGGGACGGGTTTTTCCCGTACGGCGTTAGGAGCCTGCGGGCGATAGTTCCGACGTTCGTAGTAGAGAGCGTCATCGGAGGTATTGGTGGAGTGGTCGAGACATACCTGGCCTATCAGGATCTCAAGATCCTGGCGAGAAGGCCTGCCGACCTAGACTACATCTATTATTCGCTTGCGATCGGTGGGCCTCGTTGGGGAGACGAGAGGGTTCAGCTTATAGAGCTGATCCGCTCGATAGACGACGAGTGGCCCCAGTCTTCGTGCGCGTGGGATTGGCTAGACCGTGAGCTCCGAGCAGGCCCCGAGTACGTGAATCGCATCGGGCGGCTCTTCTCAGACGACTGGGGGAGCTGGTGGAGTGAGGACGCCGGGCGACCTCTGATATACGGCCATCAGTTGACGGAATACTACCAGGCCATAGGACAGGCGCCATACCGCGTCGAGGACGAGTTTGACGACGAGGGTTGGGAGCGAGAGGACGACGAGGAGCTATGGGAACCAGACTGGGTCGACCCAGAGAGTGAGGTTGACGAGGAGGAGATTGACGAGGAGGAGATTGACGATATAGACGCCCATTTTCCCAGGATAGGAGTAGCGGTCCGGGCATAGGAGGTAGAGGAGCGCACCAGGGCGACGGATGAGTGAGCCTGGCTACTGAACCTATT